GCCTTAAAAATATATGTTCAACATTGTTTGAAATTGTCCATTCGCGTGTGTTATTTGCAGTGGTAGAAGAGAATAGTGTGCAGCATACATACCATAGCTTTCCTCTCCAGCTCTCGTCCACTCCTTTCTTTTCTCTCTGCGACTCACAGCCGGTGAAAGACTTTAAAAAAAGACAAAAACACTTCCCTACAGCCCTGACATCGATTATTGCCCGTCGTTTTAAATAAACAGCCTATATGTCCATTGCTTCCTACATTAAGTGCTCGTTTCCATCAGTCTGAAGTTTTCACAACGAGATGCATAGCTGTGTGTGTCTTTGAAGAGGAGAAAAAGCAACTAAATTCTCGTCAGGAAAAGCAAAGAAATGCTGTTCAAACTCCAGTCTTTTCACCCCGGCTGGAAACGAGGAGGAAAGGGGGAGGCGTTGTAAAAGCGCTGTTTCGGTGTGTTTTTTCCTTCTAGCTTCAACCACCACGTTGTTTTGACCAATTATTATTTCCTTTGTTGTGTCAAAAATAAAAAGAGTCCGTATGAAACGCGATCATAAGCTTTGCCTTCATTTTTTCAAAGCGCCGCTTTTCAGAGAACAACAGCTCGTCCGAAACCGTTGTATTTTCCTTTCGGAGGTTTAGCCCCTTACAGGCTAAATGTGTGTGAGTGTGTATAAGTCTATTTTTTTTCAGCTTCCCAATAATGGCGGACCTTCTCCCGAATCCAGCATCTCCCCTCCTATTCACACACGCACACACAGAGAGAGAGGGAGAGAGAAAGAGAGAGAGTCTCGCCCAGCGGTTCATGGACACAATTACAACACAGACTCACAATGTTTATCAAGGGATTCTTAGAATGGATTAAATATAAAGGACAAATAGGAATTTAACATGTGCGAAATAATCAGAAAAATTCAGAAGAAATATTTTGTATGCACACCATATGAGCAGTGGTGTAATGTAACTTAGTACATTTACTCAACTACTTAATTAAAAAATGTAGCTACTTTATTTTTTGTTATTTCATTAATTTGCTACTTTGTACTTTTACTCCTCTACATGTATTTTACATATTTACCTAATAGTTATTTTGCAGATTTAGGTTATTAATAAAAAATATAAATCGACACACATGATGTTATATTATTATAGGTTAAGCTACCCAGTAGTGTATCAAGAAATTCAAATAAATCCCACCTTTACAAAGTGCAACATTACATTGATGAACACATGAATGCACCAATCATTTTTAAATAATAATGAAAAAATATATGGTGCCTGAAATCGCCAATTCTGCAACCATTTTGAATGCAGGAATTTGACTTCTAACAGATTATTTCTACACTGCACTAAATACTCTTCTTCCACCTCTGCATATTACTTGTTCTCTTTACTTTTTGGTCACTTGGTGTATTTATTCAATGATCAGGGGACAAATGAATTAACAATAATGCCCTCCTATAATATAATGGCTCCAACATAACATACCACACACAAACACGCTTCTTTAAAGAATTATCAAACATGTAAATAGACGTTTTTAAGGTACTTCAACATGAGTACTTTCATTATATTCTTACACTATACTTTCATTACATTTCCGAAAGCTATACTTTTCTTAAACATGTCTTCTCTTTGTTGATTGTTTTGTATCATAGCCTTTACCTTTGTCAGATAGACAATACATTGGCTACATATACTTATATTATCTTTTTATATCATAACAACAACATCAATGACATTGACAATGTTCTTTGTGTGGAATTTGAGAATATGCTTGTCCATGTATATCAAAGCATACAACAACAAAAAAGGAGAGAGAAGAAGAAAGAAAGAGGTAAATAGGGAAGAATAAAAATCTGCCATTTAATTTTCCTCACACTTATGTTATCCACTTTGTCCATCTTGAAAAGTCTCTGTTTTAAAGACAGTCGTTCTATCGAATGCAACATATGATAAACTGTTGTATTTTAAAGCACCCAACCATGTATATATCAGCCTGATATGAGCCATATTCTGTATTGAGTACTTTTTCGGCTGATAGTTTGAGTACATTTTGCTAGTTCATTTGTAATGTATGCCTTTACTTGTCAGTATACTAAATATTTTTAAATCAATGTGACACTGATTACATACATTACTGAGGGTTTTTATCCTGGGCCTACATTAATACATGAATTACTTGCTGCTACATCATTGATATCAAACTCTTCTTCTTAGAATATGGTATTGCGACATTATTTCCGAGCTACGGGTCTTCATGTCACCATAAATGTAATTTGGCCTCTTGGCCCCTTGTCTCATGACTGAACCTATTGTCCCTTTGTCACCCTTTTACAGATTTGAATGCCATGTGGCTAACAAGTAAAAATGTGCGAATTGCTCACCCAAGGAAAATCTATCATCTTTAAGGTTAGTCTTAATTATCCAGAGTCATCTTCTTGGCGAAGGACTCACGTAGATAACCCCTTCCTTTGATGATTTCAGCCAAGACATAATAAAACATTTCAGTTCCTATGGAAGATTTATTTTTCCTGAGAAAGACATACTTGGAGAAGTGTATGCAATGTTTTACAAAACAAACTGCCTGTCCTAAAAGTTCAAACAAATGCTTGGTGTTTTGCTTTGGGAATCTCCCACATATTCCTTCCTCAAACATGCAATAGTATCTGGCTATCTTAACTCTGCCGGGTATGAAAACAAATACTTCTGGAAAGGCAATTTGTTGATTTTGAATATGACACACAGATAACATGTTGGAGTCTTGCCATCTTATTAACAGTCAAAGTACAAGATATTGCAACATTCAACTTCCTGGGCTGTTGATTAAAAACAAGACATAAGTAACTTATTTGCAAGTTCTATTAATAAAACATAATATGTAAAATTATATTGAAAGGCACTATGAGTGCTTTGACCGCTTTAAATGTGACCCACCATTAAATACACAGTCAGGCAGGGTTCAAGGGGCACTGCCCTCCATTTGAAAAAGTCCACATGCTTCTGTCCAATCACATTAGTCAATGTGTTCTCAGCAATATTTACATGACCCCAGTAACACACAGTAAGATTAGTAGGGGTCAAAGTTTCCTTTGAATAATCCCTCTCTCCTACCACTGTTTTTCATGGGCTGGACACTATCTTAACACTTTTGCTAATTTAGCTATTCAATTATGATATGTAAGGTAATTTGACATATTTAATTAAAACACCATTTGTTGTGCTGTTATTACCTTGTACACACCAACACATATTGTAGAAACACTCTTAATTTATGGGTTTGTTGATTTCCCCTTATATTTTATGTATTTGTCCGGAAAACTGTCTTTGTATTTGATGCTGGAATATTTCTGGGTCCCAAGGGCAAGCACATTCCTTCACTCACAGTTGTGCAATCCCTGACAATCACAGTCCCCCCATCCCCCTCTGACTCCCTTAACGCCCAAAACGTTCAGAGAGGCAAGCTGTCCAAGCTGTCTGGGCAATGTTCTGCGGTGAAAGGCTGCCCAAACAGACCAGTAAACAAAACTCTGAGCCCTGACTCTGCAGAAAACAACCACTACAAATGATGTAAGCTCAAGAGGGTGGAAATATAACCGGTAGAACAACTTTTTTCATTCTGTATTGTTTTTAAAAGTTATTCTGAGGTGTGTCACAAATGTGGTAGCATACACATTTACTAGGCTTGATGTCGGGGCAGGGCCTCCAATACCACCCAGCTTACCCTGCCCACCACCTCTTCAAAACGAAGTCTACTCCCCTCTGGCAGCTGAAACAGGAACATGCAAACACACACCACAAAACGGAAAAACAGCTCATTTCCCAAAGCTGTCCAATTGATAAACATGGTTTGACTGAATTGCATTTGAAATAAACTCACATTCCTCTATTAAAGTGGTGTACCATATATTCTGACATTTTCCTAAATATTACCACAGTGTAGACATTCTCTAACAGTCCTGCACAAAAGCATTGTAATGAAAATATAATTACAAAAGGAAAAAAGTAATGATTCGACACAATGGCCAATTAATTTAAAATGATTGATCCAATAATGTGTTCATCACTTCAATGTTGCAGCTGGTGAGGGAGGTTTTTTATTTGACTATTTCCTCTGCTGAGAAGCTTGTGAATTCTATACAAATCGTAAAAGCCATTCTTAACATGAATTTATAATAAACGATAAATTAATTGTAGAATATGGGTGAGGACACAGTTCACAGTGACATGGATAACAATATAATGGCAGTACATAAGTGTATTGTTGAGGGTAAACAATGTACTAAAGGGATGTATGCATTCATACACAACATGTCAATATTTGTTAACACATTTACACCATACAGTAGGCAGTTGTGTCGATTGTTTTAAGTGAAAAGTAGCAATACAACACTGTGAAAATACTTAAACTCAAGGAAAAATCCCTGTTTAGACATTTTATTGTATTTTTAAATGACCTGTGTACAGTTAAACAGCTTTACAGTAAGCATGCTTTAAAGTTTAGACTCTAAGTGCTCTACTGTAATTGTCGTTTATAGTAGGCCTATGGTAGTGAGTGAAACGCTGTTGTGTAATAGACTATGACACACAAAGGGTTATTAGTCTAATCACAGTGAATGTAAAAGTATGTAATATCAGGCAATAGTAAATTAAACAGGCAGCTAGTCAAAAGCGAAGATAGCAAAGTTGCTTAAATCAAACATAACGTCTTCAATTCTAAAAGTAATTAGCGGAAAAAACGTTTAGTTATTGAATTTGAACAACACCTTTTAGTTTCAAGAGTCACCCATATGTTTTTAATCATTATCCCATAATCAATGTGTGATTAGACATCATTTATCTGCTACATAAAATAACAGCAGTGGCCCTTTTCTTGTCATGTGATCCGATGTACGTTTCAACAAGCGACAAAGTGAAAGGGACGCTGGTTCTTGTAGTTCCATGGAACGAACTATTGGCTTTAACTGTTGCAACAAAAACTACATCGCCCATCATCCAACACAACTTTGCCTAGTTGTGCACTTCCGTTTAGCTCGGGAAGATAGCTGGAAGAGCGGTCAAATAATTTACTGATGTATTTATGTAAAATCGTATCGTAATTGTTTAGATACGCGCTATTCTGTCGCCTCCTGGGACCATATTTAGGAACCGACAATGGTAAGTATCTCACAATTGAAAGCTGCGCTGTTTTCTTTCCAAAATAGTATCGTATGATTGCTAGCTTGCTAGCATTTGAGAGTTTGCTAGATAACCTCTTCATTCAGCCAGGAAAAAACGTTAGCTAGTAAGTTAGCTTACCTCAGCAGGCTGAAGGCCACAGATCTGAAGTCACACTGTTTAATCTCAGATATCGACTACTGCTTAGCTAAAGGATGTCTTCTGCCAAACATTTTTAACTTTGTCTCCTTCACAAGCAAGCTGTCAAAATAAATGGGTGTGGTTTAGCTGCACTTTAGCTAAGGCTACCGGTACTTAAACGACATCGAATTACTGCTAGACGTTCAGAAATAGCTATTGCAAAACAGTCTTCTATCGTTAAACTGTGGGACAGCCAATAGCCAACAAAGTAAAATTAGACGAGTAGACCTAGGAATGTGCTGGTGTCAACAACAAAAATAATTTGCCAAAGAGGGTTCACTCTTAATTATAGTCTTAACTGTAAATATGGAAATTGATCTTGCTTCATCGCACCTTTTTTACAATGCTTCTTCCCTCATTTTGTAAGATACATTTCCTAACGATAATGTTTAAAAGATTATGTTATACGTTTCCCTGTTTTACCCTTACACACACTTATATGTAATTCATGTGATGTGTTTGAAACAAATAATTAATTGGTGTGCATGATGATTTATCAATTGTCTCAAATCACGTAGACTTTGGACACATATTGCAGTCGTTTGTTTCTGTTCTAATCTAATTTTGTCATTTTGTGGGGGGGGTTTTCTCTCTCAATTGTATCACACAGATCCGCTTCATCCTCATCCAGAACCGAGCAGGGAAAACACGACTGGCCAAATGGTACATGCAGTTTGATGATGATGAGAAACAGAAGTTGATCGAGGAAGTGCATGCTGTGGTGACGGTCAGGGATGCCAAGCACACCAACTTTGTGGAGGTATGGGATAAATCCGTGTAATTTGAATACATGCATTGTTTTATGTTTATGTGACATGCCCCAATATGTTACTTTGTTCAGTTTAACATGAACTTTTTGTAAATCCTATCAAGAGTCACAGTATGTTGACTGTAACCACAATGTTGTAAACATCTCTTTTGTGCCTACTTCCCGGTAAAATAATTTGGTGACTCCTGTGTGTTCCAAATTATAAACCTTTTCCAATAGCTACTTCAACAAATTATAAGTATATTTTCAACATTTTTTAAAGCAATTCGAAATAACAACTTTTAAACAATTGGTGGCATTCTACAGAAAAATAAAATCCTTGTCTGGATGGGTTTTGTTATGCATTTTGTTCCACAGTTGTGGTGTGTTTTACCTTAAAGCTGGGAAGCTTAAGTCCCAGCAAAGCTGCTGTTGTTGCCATAATATGAGAGACAAAGTTGTTAATTGGCTTTATCTGTGTTGTTCCCACAGTTCAGGAACTTCAAGATCATATACCGACGTTACGCTGGTCTGTACTTCTGTATTTGTGTGGACGTGACTGATAACAACCTGGCATACCTCGAAGGAATCCACAACTTTGTAGAGGTAACTGGCACGCACAACACATGATATATAGACTTAGTAAGTGAACTACGATGATTTACTTATCATGGTCTGATTATTTACAGGAATGTCTGTTAATGATTTCCTTCAGAACATTTCCCCTCCACTCTTGTCTGTCAGCTCATAAATGTCAAACCTGCATAATAGTGGAAAGCATGGACTGCAGTCAAATGTAGTGCAATGTTACATCTTAATCACTGTGATACAAACAAAGCTTTTTCTTCAACAGAATACAGATTATTTGATTGTTGCATGACCAACAGATGAGTCACAGTTGAACTATTTAGCGTGACAGTATATTTTATTACAAATTCAAGGAATACATTTATTTTTCATTCCTACGTTCAGGGTGTGTCATTATTGACTTGGATCACCAGTGTTAGATAATGCTAGGTCTAGTGACGTCGGAAATAAGCCTTCAGCAATAAAATAACAAATCGATCACCAATTACTACCTGAGTATGAAAGCAACTGCACAAACACTGAAATAGCTTTTAAAATGTTGAAGCTAATGCCCTTTCAATGAAAAACAACAAACTTAATAATACTCAGTAATAAAATCTGAGTCCTTGTTATAGCAGTTCATTATTTAAACATTTCATTCTTCCATCCTTTGAATAGGGAGTGAAATTAGGTTTTAGTGAAGTAAATCAGTCGAGTTATCATCAGATATATTGGGAGAAAACAATTTGTATTAATGTATTATCTTGAATTAAATGCTAGTCACAGCATAAATAACTTTGCATGGCATGTGATAAAAGCCCTGTGCAATATTCTGATCCGGGACATTTTTATATGGTCTTCTTGGTAAACTGAATCATGAAGCTAAATATGTTGTGTGTGGATTAGTACGAACATCAGTGCCAACGACCTATGACAAGTGCTTTTGATGAAAAATGATACTTCCAGTGCTCCGTTCAGAAGCTGTGTGACCTGCACTGGGGACACATCTCTTGTATTGATCATTGCGTCTGTCATAACGTGTCCTTCACGTCACGGCAGCCTGTCGTTACTCACCACCATAATACACTGAATGTTAGAGTCAGACCTGATGTCATCATGCTGGGTTTGTTGCTGTAGCAGAATTTTTCCAACCCCATAAATCCAAGATTGAAATGTCAGGCAACATTTTATTTCTCTAACAGCTCTGATGACCTGAGAGGATTTTAGATAACTATTACATTAAAAAGCGTTTTTACTTTGCTATTGAGATTCCATTTTATAAATGCTCTAACAGTATGATCTGCTGTTTGAATTTGGCCAAGACAAACAGTAACATTTTTACAATCCACAACACTGTGAAGGTCATTTGATTTAATGTTTGACTAAAGATATGTGTGTGAGTTTGTTCTTAAAGGGCCCATGTCATGCATTTCCGGTTATTACCCGTCCCCTTGTGTGTTATGAAGGTTTTTCTGCATGTAAACGGTGTGCAGAGTCAAAAACCCTGTAGGGAATAAAACTCTAACACAGAAAAGACCTGTCTATGCTGCTCCAGAACGCCTCGTTGGAGATTTCTCATTTTCCAATGTTTTCTTCCTGGGTATCGTGACGTGCCCTTACCCAAATGAACAACAAATGACCGGATTGGTCCGAATGGACCAATCCGCGCAGCACCTCACACACCAGGATCCCTTGGTGTCACTATCTCGTCTACTACAGGGATTCCCATTGACTTGCATAGAGCTCCCTGAACGCTGGTAATAGACGAGTTGGGATCGCGGAGAAATGCTCTCCGCAGACCCATTCTCACAGCGTTCTAAACCTTTTTCTTACTCAATATCAAGCCACACTTATTGTTTTTACTTCGGCTGTGAGTATTTGTGTGTGCTGTATCGCCGACCCGGAAAACACACCGCCAGCGAGCTCACACTGCAGCAGCGAGCCTCGCAACGTCCCGACCAATCAGAGCACACTGGGCTCACAGGGAGGGGGGGGGGCAGGAGCTCCAACAAGCCGTTTAGGACAGAGAGTGAAATTCAGTGAATACTCATACTATACAGAGATGCTGTATGAGAAACCAATGTGATTTTGGAAAATTGCACAATTTAAATCTATTCTAGTAGACCTCAACAATGGAATTATGATCAGTAGAAATGGCCATGACATGGGACCTTTAAATGCACCCTAGTCTTAAATGGTGCTTGCACAAGCTTTAATATATTTATTTTCAGTCACTGTACCAATGTTAAGATAAACAGAGATGAACTGCACATAGCACAGACACAACAGCAGGTGCTTGTTAGCTAAGCGAATTCTTAAGAAAGGGTGACTTGTTCTGCCTTTGCAAATGACTCTATACCACAGAATGACATCTTGTAGAAACGTGATGAATCAATAATTGAATTGTTCGTGATAGTTCGAGCGATAGAATTACTAACAAAGAACTGCTAACAGAGCACTTGTATACTAATAAAGGACTGGCTTATCTAAAGCCAGTTGAGTAGCACTTGAAATGTGTTGGCTCTATGAAACCTGATTTACTTATATGATTCTGTTTTCTTCAAGTTTGTATCTTCCTAGTCGAATGCACTTATTGTAAGTCGCTTTGGATAAAAGCGTCAGCTAAATGCAATGTAATGTAAAGTATGTAGTTAGTGGAAATGTACTTCTTACATTGTCATGATGTGGTATCTGCTGCTGACTCAGCTGTGTCTTTTTATGTCTGCACTAGTTTCTTACATTAAGATCCTACTATTACCATACATCTTTAAAGGAGAGGTGTCATGGCCGTTTCCACTGATCATAATTCCATTGTTGAGGTATACTAGAATAGATTTATATTGTGCATTTTTCCAAACTCGCATTGGTTTCTCATACAGCATCTCTGTAAACTACGTGTATTCACTGAATTTCACTCTCTGCCTTTAACGGCTCGTTGTAGCTCCAATAGCTCCAGCCCCCACCCTCCCTGTGAGCACAGTGTGCTCTGATTGGTCGCGACGTTGTGAATCGCGCTGAGCTCCGTGGAGGTGTTGTTTCCTTGTTAGCGATACACAGCCAAACACAGCCAAACTCATCCTGAGCACACACAAAGTCACAGCTGAAGTAAAAACAATAAGTGTGGCTTGATATTGAGTAAGAAAAAGGTTGATAAACGCTGTGAGAATGGGTCTGCAGAGAGAATTTGGCCGCGATCCCAACTGTCTGTTATCAGCCTGCAGCCAGGGAGGAGAAATCAGCAGAGCTCCCTGCTCCCTGCACACAGATGTGTGTGTGAGGAAGTCCGTGGATTGGTCAATTTGGACCAATCAGCGGGGGCTTAACGTAACGGCTCCGCGGACGTAACGTAACGGCTCCACGGATTGGTCCATTTAGTTCCGGGTACGGCATGACATCATGCCGTACCCGGAAGAATCAAATGGACAGTGACGTATCTCCAACGAGGCGTTTTGGGGAGGTATTTTCTGTGTTAGAGTTTTACTCGCTACAGGGTGTACTTTGAGGGTTTTGACTCTGCACACCGTTTACATGCATAAAAACCTTCATAACACACAAGGGGACGGGTAATAACCGGAAAAGCATGACACCTCTCCTTTAAGTCTTCTCACAGTATTTTATTTCCTGGCTGATGATGTATGATTAAATTAAATGTTTGTCTTGATGTTTTTATTTCCTGTAAGGTGCTGAATGAATATTTCCACAACGTGTGTGAATTGGACCTTGTGTTCAACTTCTACAAGGTAAGGACATACATAGTAAGGTTATATGATTTGTGATATTATTACATTATTTTATCAAACGCCTTTTAAAAGAATGAGAGTGCAAACGGCAAATAAGAAAATGTCACTTTCATTACACTGCCATGGAAACAGTCATTCATAAAGATTCATCTTACACATTTATTTTTTATAAACTTTATTTTCCTTTTTCTTTAACAACACATACAGTTTCAGTTTCAGTGACAAAAAAGTGCAGGTTGTCCATTTTTTGTTAGCCCCCCCCCACCCCCCTACAGAATAAGACCAGATTAATTGTACAAAAATATTTTAAAATAATAAACAAACGGATGGTTGAAAACACAGCACACATAAAAGACAAAAAAAAAACATGACAAGGTCGAGATACATGTTAATCATGGTTGACTACAGAAAATCTGTGTTCTAATTCCGTTTTTTTTTTTTTTTTTTGATCAGTTAGGGAAGAGGAGGCAGTTTCAAACTTTCCATGTACGTTAAAAATGGTTGCCAGGTCCTATAGAATTTACAAGTGGAGCCACCCAAAGTATACTTTATTTTCTCCATGTGGAGAAACATCATAAGTTCTGTCACCCAGTGGACATGAGTGGGAGACGCCTCCATCTTACACATTTTAATAAGGGATGGATATATCTTTTTGCATCGAGGGAAATGCTAAGCAACAAGCATCTCTGAACTCCATCGCCCACATTGGACATGTTACACGTAGACAAATAGGAAAAATCGACTTTTTAATTCACTGATTTACTGCTGCTGCTCCGAGGACAAAACGAATTCACAAGCTCAGCCGCTCTCTTCTGTCAGGTGTGTGGCAAGGACTGATTCATCCCAGTATATTTGCCACGTTGATAATCTCTATATTTAGTCATCCAGCAGTTATATTGTCGTTTTGATGACACAAAGGTGGAGTTGGGTAATGATGACCACAGGTTAGGCGATGAGGAGTTTCCAGGAAGAAGATAATGTCACTTTGGTTTCAGGTCCAACGATGCTAAATGTTGCATCTGTATTATTGTTTTATTTTAGTTGCCTGAATCCTCTCCTTTCCTCATCACCATGTCCACCCTCTAATGCACTTCCTGTGTCACTCCAAGGTTTACACGGTGGTGGACGAGATGTTCCTGGCGGGAGAGATCAGGGAGACCAGTCAGACCAAGGTGCTCAAGCAGCTCCTCATGCTGCAGTCGCTTGAGTAAAATACAGAAAACCATTCTTCCTACCTTCCCACCAATCCTTCACTCTTTCAAAACTTCAGGACAGCTGTTTTTAGAACTAGAAATGCACAATATTGATAACATTTATGATTCGGAGGTTCCAGTAGCCTGTGTGTGACAGCGCTCTATATGTTGCAGTACTCTGCATTTCCAATGAAGTCCCCCAGTATTAAGAGGCTCTACATTTCAACATGTTAACCTTTCATTATGTTAGCATTTCACAAACCGCCTTAGTTCCAATCATCTTTTGCCTCTGTTTACTGCCTTTTCCTCCTCTCCCTTTATATATAAATAAATCAAATAAAGATTAACATTAACTTCATTTAATGACACTACTGTAACTAACAAGCACCTCATAGAAAGAGCCTCTGCCTGAAACAGCCATTACTATAAAGAAAGACTGTGTTAGTGACGTGCTATTAGATTTATCAATCTGGATCATAGTGCAAGCAAACCACAACTAGAAAGCCCTTCAGAGCAATTGAGCCTCAACAGGAAGTTGATCATTGAATGGAGTGTACTCAGGATGAGTGTCATTGTGAAGGTGTGTTATGGTAACCTGTGCCCTCCTCTCATGGCCCATAACGATCAGCAGTGTATCCTATGTTAGCTCGGATAGCTGCGCTCCAGATGTGGTAATTGTTTTCACTGCATAGAAAACCATCGTGATCATTTGATGCTACTCGTGGTGCTTGTTGGTCACACTTAAAAACCCAATCAGAAGGAAATAAAGACCTGGACGTAGAACGTGTATTTTACATTCAAGCAGTACTGTGAAGTTTGCTTTGTATGGTGTTTACGTACAGTGTATCTGGCGTATGTTGAATATTATAAAAATAACAAATGCATTCCAGAAAGAGTTGTTCTTGCTCACTAGATCTGAGGAGTATTTACTTGTGTGAAATCAATAATTCCTTTGCCATTGCGTAAAACAAATTGGCTTTTAACATACTCCTCCAAGCTTCATGAACTTTGAGAAAAGAAAAGCTGCTTTTATGCATTTCCCTTTGCTGGACTTCAATGTTTATGAAATATCTTGTCATACTCTGATTTTACTTTATCCAGTCACGAAGGTGGTTACAAATGTTACTGTTGTTGGACTTTTGTATTTTTTTTTTTAATCATTAGGCAATTGTGAAATATGTAATGCTTCCTTGTCCCCTGTGAGTTTGTTGATGGAAGACGTGTGCTTGTTTGTATTTCTGTCTCTGGTTCAACTTCCCACAATGCGTCCCATTATATGTAAATATATAAAATAAACAAATGAAGTGATACATGATGATCAACCATATCTGCTTCTAATTAATGATATATCGCTAGGAAATTAGATAAGACTTTACTGCATGATATGTTAACTATGTAGTTAATATCCTGGTTAGAATATTTACCTTAAAATCGGCTTAACAAGAACAGCTTTTTAAATGACTAAAAAAACGATTAAAGCTCTAAGTGCAATAAGCAAGGATAGTTTTATATATCTTAATGCTTTAGCACCATCTAGTGGTATACAATCAGCTCTGCCTCAGTCAATTATGCAATTTGGTTATGAGGTCATTCTGACAGCCTATCCATGATCAATGAATCAGTCGATATATCCACTCCGGCTACATTAAACCACTCTATCTGCTGCTCCATCGACCAGAGAACATAAATCCAGACTATTGGACACAGAGGACATTTACTCTTCATCTCACGAGTCCTCTGATATCCTACCCTGACTGCCTTTGAGAGAAATGACTCCACTGAAGAATGGAAGACAAAGCAAATCAATCACGTACATGGACTCTATTGTTAAATTCAGGCTCTGTGCCGTCAGCTGCCTATAAACCTGAGGTGAAATAAGTTACTGCTCATAGGAGAGCTAAAATATAGAAGTGAGGACTACATATATTTAGGATGTGGTGCATTTATAGTCCATTGGGCAGCCAAGTGAGCACTTTAACAGGAACCTGCAGTTGCTTAGAGACAAGACACAGATGGAACCATCCAGAGACAGGGAGAGGGAGGGACTGAAAAAACAAGCAGTTTACTGGGAATTGCATATTCATTACAATCAATGAGCAACACTCACCCTTAAATGGACAATAGACAAATCTTATTTACAGCATATGTTACTTGAGATGTACAGTAGTATTTTGGGTTGATTATATTACATTAGTTACTAAGCAACAACTGAGTAGGATTGCATTCATCACGATTAAACCAAGACAGGAAGTGATTCTTATCATATGGCTATTTTGATAATGAACTGTACAATACATACATACATGAGAAAGCCATTTGACTCTGGCTCAACAGCATTTATAGGACTTGATAAGGGAATACAAAAAAAGACACCTTTTGAATGTCAGAGCTGCTGCTGATGGTTGTACAGTTCAGGTGAACATCCTTTCATTGCCACAAACACCTCAGCAGGGTGCGATAAACAAACCTCAGTCAGCAGCCAGCAGAAACAAGGAAATCAAATCAAGAATCTCAGTTGTTATTTAGCAAAAAATGATAACATCTACAATTAAAATCTTTATTACAGTATACTGTTCAAGTAAAATAAAATGTACAATTCTAGAGTTGCAGCATATAAACAAAACATGAACATTCAAAAGTAAAAGTGCACTTGCAGAAGGAGACAGACTTTCCACCAATGCCAATATTTTATGAAAACTAAATAAATCTTTGACCATCTGTCTCTTGATATCCTATACTATCTTATGTTTGCAAAACCCGCTTTCTCCCTTCAGTGTGCTGGCTCACTTGGGCTTATAACGCATATGGTTTGTCTGGGAGGACATATGCTAACAGTTGAGGAGAAGACGTGAGAAATATGTGTGTTCTGATCTCCTCTTGGAGATTCAGTCAGCGGTTCAGACAGAAGCAGTGCCTTTGACTCAACAGTTGGGCGGGATGTTTTTAAGTTATCGACTCGCAAACCTCCTCCTCCTCCCGCAGCACCACAAACCATGCTGTCAGTGCTGCAAAGAGGAAACCATGCTTCAGGGGGAATTCCCTGCTTCCCTTTGGGGCAGCACAGGGTCTGTTCTAAAGAGAAATCACCATCTGGGACGGCTCAGAAACTCAAAGACATTTTGTTTACACGAACAGATTTGCTTCTCTGCTTGACAAAGAAAAGTAAAAACTACTTAACAAGCAGCATCCTGATTTGTATCATGGCGCTCTTGCAACCTTGTATTAAACATAGTCCAGTCTGTACGAGGGAACTGAGTGGGCAGAGTGAAACTTTCCCCAAACAACTGTGGTTTCCTGTGACGTCCCCCGTCACAGAATGTGCAGCGTGAATAAAAGGAAAGAAAATGGAGAAAAAGCCCAGCAGGAGGAGTCAAAGGCATTGTTAGTTTTTCAAAAAATGATGACCCTTTCTTAACCTTACACCGGGATAGGACCAGAGACGCTGGGATTTTATCACGAGATAAATCTGAGGCTGCAGACTTTGGGAACTTTGGAGTTAAATCAAGAGCAAAACCTCTCTTTTGTGCTTTAAACCTGACCCACAGGAGTGTGTGGAGTGTGTGGAGTGATGGGAGGCTTCCCCTCCAGTTTACAGACGTGGTGAGTAGGGAAAATATACTGTAGATCCACAATATCAAGTGTATTACTATGGCCAACACTCTATGTCACAATAGTGCATTTTAAAGTGAATCAAAATGTCAAATGACTCAACGTAAAACACACAGGGCTCTAAATCTGGGTCTGTATGACTTTACAATTAGAATTACCATGTTTGAGCTCAACTGTTTCCATTTGGATCAGAAAAAGCTGCAGACACATTCACAACGGATGCATCTGTTTTTCAATATCTACATTCTTAACTTTTTAAGAGGATGTGTTTGGACTGTTACTCACATCACCATCAATCACAGGCTGAACAGTACAGTTAAATAAAACACATAAAAAGCTAAATCAACAGGTGACTTTACCAATATAAAAACTCTTAAGATGTTATAATGAATCAATTCCAGATATGTTGAACAATGAGTATGCGCAAAATAGATCACCAATAATAATTTAGAAACAATGATATGCAATCGTATGAAGCATGTCGGTGTTACTGAAACCAGAATGAAACACACAGATAAACAGCAGGGCAGTCGACACACAACCCTCGACTCGTCCTTCTCTGGTAAGTCACAGGGAAAACATTTTTGTTCTCTTCTTTGTGATCTTATCGTCTTCACACTGAGGGGTTTCCCTGCCCAGACACAAGGGCACAGCTGGCCCCCCTCAGGTTAGAAGTAGAGAGTCTTACCAGAGGTCAGGGGTCAGGGGTTGCCAGGTGATGCAAGGTGTGTGAGACTACAGAGAGAAGGGTCACACACACCAAAAAACACCTGGAGAAGAGAGCACAAGAAGGTGAGGCAGGTTAAAAAAGAGTTTAGATCAAGTCACTCATTTAAAAGATCCTGCAGTCTGAGTTGACGACATGCCACTGACCTGTAGGGGGGGTGCTGTCTGTGTGGGCCTGTGGGCTGAGGGGAGGGGGGGGGGGCCCCGAACCCTAGCAATTACACTGCTGTTTGACGGGTGTGGCGGTGCCTCTCGGCTGTCGCAGCTGCCTCAACGAAGCGTCTCCGTACTGGATCCCTGAACCCATCCTCTCCGGGTCCAACTCACCTGGGAAAAGAACCGTGAGGAGGAGCGTCAGCAACAAGGACGTTAAGATGTAGAGCAGAATGAAGACGGATCAACAAGAAGTTATGACTCAGCATACCTGACTCTATCTTGTTGAGGATGATGCGAGCGCACTTCAGGAAACCCTCCTCGACATTCTCCCCTGTCAGAGCACTGGTCTCCAGGAATATCAGCTCTAAAAAAAAAAGAGTCAAACTGAAATGAACCCTTTGTGGCCGTCCAACAACCAATCAAGAAGCAGCTAACATTCATGTCTCTCTCTAAAAAAAAAAGAGGATAATGTTGGGGTATTTCCAAAATCTTGTTTTGTGAGGTCGCAGTGACCTTGACCATCGACCACTACATTCTAATCCGGTCTTCCTAATATCCAGATTGATGTACAAATATATATCAATTGGGATATTAATGCCAGATTGAAGAACTTTCGACAAATCACTTTCACTAGAGTGGGACATACGGACAACCCAAAAACATCAACTCTACGACCGAGGCTGTCACCAGTGTAGTGGCATACAAAAACACACCCTCAAGGTGACGATAAACAGAAAGAGTCAAAAGGACAGAAGGTCAAACAAAGAACAAGGCTGGCCGGGCACAACTTGTGAGCAGCAAGCATACAGATTAACAAAGACGATAACACAAACAGCAGGACACCGGAAAGTGAGAAAGGTTTAACATTAGTTACCATTCTCCTGAGCGAAGCGCGACGCCTCCAGGAAGGTCACCTCCCGGTCTGCGTCCAGGTCCTTCTTGTTTCCACACAGGATGATGACGATGTTGGGGCTGGCCAGGGTCCGTGCGTCTGTCAGCCAGTTGGTCAGGGCATTGTACGTCTCCCGACTGTAGGACAGGAGAGGGCAAATAGTTGTAAAGTCATTTTGAGTCCCAGAAAAGAACTATACAAATATTATTTATTATTATAAGTTCAAATAATTGTCCCTATCAGCATCACCTGAAATGTCCAAATGAGCTCCATAGCTTCTTATGTATATATTTATTTTTTTGGTACTTTTTAATGCTATTTAATTTCTATTCAGAAACATTTTGGACTGTTTCTAGTGTCTTAATTTCTCTTATCTTATCGCCTTGTTTTTTATGCTGCTGCAACACAAACATTTCCCAAATTGGGATCAATAAAGTACTTATCTATCTATGACAGGACATTGTATATGTAGGCTTTTAAAGTACTATTCACTTTTTGTGAATAATATTACATTTACATTTATCAAATTAAACTAATAACTAACTTCAACTTTGTTGCTCAAATAGTAGCCTCTTACTTTATAGGTATGAAAACTTAAAGCAAGTTATTTCCATTCAATGACAAAATACTATTTAAAGAGCTGCCCAGATTATGACTAAATCTTGATTAAATATCACAAGGACTGGGTCTTTAAAGTATTTATCAATATGAGCAATATATAGTGAAATATTTATCAGGGCAATATATTTTCCTCAAAAACAATGTGCATAACTAACCAAACAAATCCAACTGTTAAGTCTTTACTTGGATTTCTGTCTGTATTTGTGCTTCCCCTCAAAAAAGAACATGTTTGGGTTGCTGGTAACAGAGAGAAAAACAAACTTTGAAACATGATACTATTTAAAGCAATTTGATATGCAAAGAAACTTGCTTGAAAAA